CACTCCAGGCCCTGCTTGCCTGGGGTTCACCTGCAGCAGCTGCTGAACAGTAAGGGTTGTTACCAGTTTTCTTCTTCTGCTATCTTTGTCCCAGAAGGATACCCGCCTAGTGTCACTCTGATCTCTCCTTTATGAGGTGTCTCTTTGGATATATAGGGGTGAGGGAGCTGCTTGAGGAGACAATCTCTTCTTTATAGGAGCTCAAATGGTGAGCTGTGAGCTCTGTTGTTGTTCATTCAGAGCTGCTGGTCAGGTACGTTTAGGTCTGCTGCAGCAGAACTCATAAACTGCTTTTTGTTCCCAGGTGCTCTGTCCCAGGGATTTAGGGCTTTATTTATCAGTTTCTGTTATGCTGCCGCCTTCTTTTTTTTTTTTCCTTCAGCCCTGCCCTGCCCAGCAAGGGGGCAGCCTAGTCACTGTCGGCCTATAGAGGCTTTGCTGAGCTGCTATGGGCTCCGCCCCATTGCCGAGTGAACTTCCCTGCAGTCCTGTTTATATGGGTGTAGTCAGAACTGCTTTGGCGATGGTGGCCCGCCTCTGTTGAGGCGGAATCTCTCTGCTGTGGCAGGTTGCCTTGGCAACGGCAGGCTGCCTCAGCAATGGCGGGTTGCCTTGGCAACGGCGGGCTGCCTCAGCAATGGCGGATTGCCTTGGCAACGGCGGGCTGCCTCAGCATTGGCCGACTACTTCCGTCCTGGCGGGCTGCCTCAGTAATGGCGGACGCCCCTCCCCCACAGAGCTGGACCGTCCCGGGTTCAGCTGCTCTTGCTGTGAAAGTCTCAATCCAGAGTTTCTGGTTGCTGTTCTTTTGCGGGGGTGGGACCAGCCAAGCCTGATCGCCTGGCACCCTGCCTCAACTCCTTTTTTAAGTTTGTGTTCCAGTCGCCTGTTTAAGAGGTGCCGAGGTCTGTTTGTTTTCCCCTGCGGCCACTCACTGCGCTGGCTTAAACAGCGGCACTGGGGTTTGTGGCGCTTTTTTTTTGCCCTGGAATCTACTGTCCTGGTTCTCTGCTCAGTCCCCTTTTTAAACAGACGAATGGGCGACTTCCCGTGACTCCAATCACCAGCCAAAAGGGCACCCGGACCGGTGTATTTTGTATGGAGAACCGCTGCTCCGGGGCGCCGACAAAGCAGCCGCGCGGGGCAAAGCAGCGGCGCTGGCTGGCACAGCCGCGCTGGCCGAAACAGCCGCGCTGGCGACCGTGGAGCACCTCTGCCTGGGAATTTCCTAGTCTGTGGGCAATAAAAATGCTGCGTCCACTCACCCTCTGTGCTTTCACTGGGAGCTGCAATCCTGAGCTGTTCCTAAACGGCCATCTTGGATCCTCTAAATATAGTTCTAAGAAGCTGCTAGCAGTCATCTTAAGAGCAGACACTCTTAGGAAGGTATACAAATTATGGAAGGGAGAGAGAAGAGAGAGAATATTGGGACTGCAGCAATAGCATTAAAAAATAATAATTCCTCTTATGTTAATATATCTGCTTTAAGAGCTTTATTTTTTTCTCCTCAAGAAAGTCTAGCTTTAATGATACTTATTGTAGTGATGATATTGTTACCAAGTTTCTCATCAATGTTTGTTAGGTCCTCAAGTATCCAAGTGTTTCTAATAATAAATCATTGAGGATGGCCTTTGACTGTCTCTATTATAATGCTATATTTTCAATTAATTGTTTTCATTAAATTTAGAATTTGATTTGTATATAAAATTCTTGGAGTCAAGTGTAGGAAACTGAGATGAGAATAAAAAAAGAAACCTTAAAGGTAACCACTTCCCTAATGTCCTTGGGATGATGGTAAACAATGTCTTTACCATCATCTCCCTCCTTCCCTTTCAAACTATAGGGTGTGCTTTCTGTCAAAAACATTGACTATGAACACTGAAATAACCAATCAAATATTTTAATGCAGTGACTTCACTTAATGACAGGAATAATAAAAACCTATGTGGTTGTTATTGTTGGAATACAAAAAAGCTTATAGAAATTTCATGTAGAACATATTAATCATGATACTAGCTAACATTTATTTAGTGCTTATTATGTGCCAAACACAAAGTGCCTTGTATTATCTGAATTAATTTTCACAATAGCTCTTTAAGGTAGGTAGTACTATTTTTTCCTCTAAACTGAGGTATAGAGAAATTAAGTAGCTTGTGGTCTTAGGTTGAACTGGTATATCAAAATACCACTGAGTGGGTGACTTATAAAAATAGAATTGTATCTCTCACAGTTCTGAAAGCTGGGAAGTCCAAGATCAAAGTGGCAGCCTATTTGGTATCTGGTGAGGATCTATTTCCTCATAGACAGTCGTCTTCCGCTGTAACTTCACATAGCAGAAGGCATCCAAGGGAGCTCTCTCAGGCCTCTTTTAAAAGGGCATTAATTCCATTCATTAGAGTTGCGCCCTCATGACTGATCATCTACCAAAGGTACCACCTCCTTATACTGTCACCTTGGGGGTTAAGATTTCAACATACGAATTTTGGGGGGACACAAACATTCAGTTCATTGTACTTGCTGAGGGGTTTTAACATTTAATAAGCTGTGGAGCTGAGATTCATCCTCAGACAACTTGATTTCAGAGCCACGTTTTGAATCATAACCTATACCCTGATAGCTTTAAAACTTCTATATTATTGATAGTAAAGGATAACAGCAGGGATTGAACAATATCTTCTCTTGTTTCTATGTGCTATACACTTTTCCAAGAAATAACTTCCTACTGATTGTATAACTTTTTTCCTCCTGAATAAGATGAAAAAGGCTGTGCTTGATGTAATATTGCTGAGTCTTTAATGATCATATATTTCAGATCTCAGTGGGAAATGGAAAAGCATAATCTGGAAAGCACAATGAAAACATACGTGAGCAAACTGAATGCAGAAACTAGCAGAGCTTTAACAGCCGAGGTAAAAACAAAACAAACAAATGAGGGCCGGGGTATGGGGTGTTGGGGGAAAGTTTTACTTGTATACCATATACTAAAGAATTTTTAAAAGACTATTTTTTGTATAAACAGAAATAAGACATCTTAGGATCAGCCAGGAAAATACAGCTCAAAGTCTTGTGCTTTTTTGACTCATTGGCCTATCATGTATGAATACTTCAGTTTTGATGATCTTATGTTGTTCTCCCCCAGTGACTCGAAGAAATCAGTCTGTTGCAGTGTATATAGCAAATACAGACATCTTGGGAAATTCTCATGAAACCAAGTCACTAAGCCAAACTTCTAATAATAACATTTTACTACTGTCACAATATCTTATTTGTCTGCCACTTCCTATATAGATCTTACAAAAATACAGACACATCATACACCTGAATGTAAAAAGCCAACTTGCTTTTCAGACTGCCATAAAATTACCCAAACTTTTCTAAGTTAGCTTAAAACACCACAGCTAGGGTCTCTCCAAATAAATATGATTGTATGTGTGTATGTAATTTTCATTTGTACATAACCAAACTTGATATACAATAAGACTCACATTTTTAGAGAGCTTCCTGACATTGAAAACATTACAAACCCTCCACCTCTGTCATGGGTAAACTCTGTTCTCCAGCAGAGAACTTGGAATCCTGAAAGTCAGCAACCAAGAAGTAGTATCTGAACCAAAAATTCATGAAGAATATTGTTGGGATACTAGCTTTAACAAAAGAACAAGTTCAGATTCTTTTAAAAGCTCAAGTGTATACAGTGTTTTGTTATTGTTTTTAATCAGTAAATTTCTTTGTGCTTGTATTGTTAATTTTGAAAAGGAAGAACTTTCTAATACTTAATGCTGCCCAACAGTGTATTTTAGTGAATACTGAGTGATTAGTAGTGAAAAACAGAGGCTAAATGACTGTGCAAGTAGTGATACAGAAAGGTTTCCTGCTACAGGAGAGATACTGGACCATGTAGTCTCCAAACCCATATCTTTCTGTATGGTCTGATGATTTTCTTGCCTCTTCATCAATGAGAAAAAATAGATAGCAGGAGTGTTCTCAGACTTTAATGCATGTTAGAATTACCAGAGAGTTTTTAAAAATGCCAATGCCCAAGCTATAACTAGTATCAATCAAATTAGAATATCTGCGACCAAGGCACTATTTTTGAAAGTTTCTGAGATGATTCCAGTATGAGTACAAATTTGAAAAGATATATTCTAGAATGTTTACCAACCTATTAACCATTAAATAAGGAAATTAGAATTGCAGAGGTGGCATTGATTTAAAAGCTTTTGTAATGTATCTTGAATGGTCAAGGAACCCAGATGCTATTGGAAGAAATTGAGAAATAGCTTTAAATTTACTTGAGATGATTGAGAAGAAAATGTTCTTTTACAAGCACACCTTCAACTTCTTTCTCTTTCTCTCAAAAACCTGTAGGTGTATTTCTTACAGTGTCGTAGGGATTTTGGTTTGCTTCATCTGGAGCAGACTGAAAAGGAATGTCTCAATCAACTTGCCAGGGTGACTCACATGGCAGCAAGGTAACCTTTCCCTCTTCCTTAATGCATCTTAATCTTAGAGATGTTAGCAACTGTCTCCACAGTTGAATGTAATCTGTGATGTGTTTTACATATGTGACATCAGAGTTCTTAAAGAAGCTCTTATGGGTTTTGTGGGTTTTCATTTTTTTTCCTGTGAAATTCCTTTTACCAGAAGCTCTTGTTGTTTTCATTTTTAAACCTCAAAAGTCATTTAGTTACTTTGATGCTTGTACTTGGCTGCTTCTGCTGAAACACTGAGAAGTCTACTGAGTACTGTGTACAATAATACCTGCTGAAAGATTTTTCCCTTCCTCCGTCGTGAAGTAGATCAAAAGTCTCTCAGTCAGAGATATACATGGATACCAGATACTTATGAAACAAGGTGGATTCTAATTGGAAGACTTTTTTTTCTAATGGTTTTCCTATGCAATGCCTGATTTTAAATACCTAGGGAATATGTTGAGGGAAACGTCAATATTAACACCTAAATCATATGTTAAAGGTAGTTTTCTGCTATGCTTTTATAGTAATTATAGAGTAATTTTCAAATATTGAACAGGTTGCATGAAATTCTCCTTAAATTTATAATCTTATGGGATATACCTTCAAACTTAAAGAATTAATTAAATTAGAATCTCTGGGACCCAGGCATCATTATTTTTAAATGATTATCATTTTAATAATCAGCATTGTTCTTTAATTCTAAATAATCAGAGTCTGATGAGCAAGATTATCAGGATATACTGATGTGCGTTCAAGTCAGGGAAGTACTGTTGTAAATGGTCAGTCTATCTTTGCTTGCTAGAAGGAAAGAATGCTGTATACATTAGGATATTATGAAGCTTCTTTATATGAGATGATCCTAGTGATAACTTGGTCACCTCTTATAAAATTGTTGGGCTGGGTGATACTGGCGTGGGATGTTATAATGGATAGAACCTTTTAAAAAACCATATGAAATTTGTTTTCTAGAGATCATAGACCCTAACAACTTCAAAGTTGTTTCTACTTTTGTTAAGTCATTTGATAGGCATGAGTTGATATAACTATTGTTTGTGCAATTTATATACTGTATAAAGGCAGCAACCTCATTCATCCTGAGAGAGAGGGTATTTCTAATTTATCCTTTCCATAGACAGTATTTTTTTCTAATTTGAAAGGAGCCATGTAGGCCAACCATTGCTTTTGGATTTCATAGTTAATATGAAGATAGTCCAAAACTTGCTTCCAACATGAGTTAACATTTTTGAGAACACTGCTGTATTAGATGACTAAGGTTTTCCTGCTTCATTGGAAAGATTCCTTATAAAGGTTTTATAATATGTACTAAAAATACATCATCAAGATAGAAGAAAACTTGTTCTGGAAGCATAAATTATATTTGCTCTTGAAAAATTAATTTTTTTGTTACTGGTTTTTGTACTTATTTTTAGTAACAAACCTGTCTATACATCTTTATGTGCATTTGAGGTAATTGTTGTTGTGATGGGGGTAATTTTGTTTTTTGTTGACATATATGCTAGAAAGCATGATAGAAATGTTTGGAAAACTTAAGTGTTATTAAAAAAAAGAGCTTTCTTTTGTGTCTCGTTTTCTACAACAGCAACCTAGAATCACTTCAATTAAAAGCTGCGGTAGACAGTTGGAATGCCATAGTGGCAGATGTTAGAAACAAGATTGCATTCCTCAGGGTAAGTCCTGAAATATATTTAGAGTAAATTGGCTTAATGTTATAGGTGGTGTAAAGCTAGAAGACATATTAGTAGAAAAATTTAAGGAAGAATATATTTTTCCATTTTAGTTATAAAAGTTTATGCCTTCAGTTTGATATTACTTCCATGTGGTTAGTTGTAGGTAACATCCTTGACTCACACATGTAGTCTTTTATATCCTTAGTCAAGAAAATAATAAATTAAAAAATTGTGCCCTCACACCTAGCTTTCCTTGAATTTTAAACCTGACAATGCCCCAATCAAACCTAAATGTTTTGGGTGGGCACAGTGGCTCATGCATATAATCCCAGAATTTTGGGAGCTGAGGTGAGAGGATCACTTGAGCCAGGTGCTCAGGTTATGGTGAGCTATGATCATCTCACTGTACTACAGCTTGAACAGCAGAGTGAGACTGTCTCTAAAACAGAAATTGGAATAAAAACTAAATGTTTTCATGTATTCTGAGTAATAATGTGTTTATAGCATTAAAAGGAAAATCAAGTAGGTCTGTATTAGTTTTCATTCTAACTTTTTATGTAATTATTCTATAATGCAAAATAGTAAATTCCTAAGTACTGGTGGAACGATGCTACAGAAGATAATCCACTGAATGTTTATTAATTAATTTTGTTTTAGAACACACACACACACACACACACACACACACACACACACAGGTTGATATGTAATGTTGATTGTTTTGTGATTTCACAACACTATCAGAAAAAAAAGCATTGTCATTAAATTGTGAAATGCCAAGTACTGTATATTTGTCCTGCTCCTTTGGGGGTTTTCACTGTTTCTAAACTCTTTCTTACTCAATCTTTAGTGATGCTTAGCACTTCTGTTGGATTTATTCAAAATTTTGGCCTCACAAGACCTGCCCTTCAGAGCACATGTCCTCTGTGCAGAAGTTTCTAAACATTTTGTTTTGTAAGACTTTCTTTTGCAGCTCTTTACAAAATAATATGGTAAGCAAAAGTGAGGATAATGCCAAAAAATGTTGAAAGTGTGTTGTTAAACTTCCAGGTTGGAGTCTCACTTTTGGCAAAATCCAAGAGAATAAAATATATATGGACCTGGAGCAAGCTAGAGTTAGAGATGTTGAGATAAACACAATGTAGAATTTAATAAGTAATCTCTATAGTGTTTCCTTCAGTTTTTAAAATGAACATTTGCAAGTAGTTTAACTCTTTGTCACAATACGTTTTTTTCCTGTTTTTTTGCCAGTATAATATTTATAGCTTCTTGAATCTTTAATCTCTTTTTGTACTTTATATCAGTGTTTCCTATTTTAGAGCTGAAAATTATGGAAACACTAAGGAATTATCACAAGGATCTCTGAATTATCTGTGTCTCTGTTTCTTATTAACCAATAACCACTCCTAAAAATACAACTGTTTACATGTGGGGATGGCCTGTAAAATTTTCCTTTTCAGTCAGAACCTGTTTTTATATTATTTCTGACAAGTTGGGAACCCATCTTCTATGTTGTATTATTCAAAAGTACATCAAGTATTCCCATATTCTGTTTCTTTAAAGTTGGTTGCACTCTAAAGTGTTTTTGCTCTTTTCCTACCAGATACAGTACAATGAACAAATAAACAAAGTAAAGCAAGGATTTGCCTTGAGTACCTTGCCTCCAGTCCAGCTTCCTCCTCCACCACCCAGTCCGGAGATACTGGTAAGAAATAGAACATTTTGAGTAATTGCCCTTTTCATTGTGACAAACTGGTAAGGGCTGTGAAATACTGAATATACAGTATGTTTAACGTGTGTTCAAAATGGAATAGTCACATATTGTGAGTATCAATTGTAATTATGACCATACCTTCTAGTCACCAGATGATATAATTAGATGGCTGAGGCCTATTCAATAGGTTGTATCACTGGATTTCAGTGAAGCATTTTATATATGTAGAGTAATATTTTCTCATTCATTCTATTTCACCTACCTTGTGGGAGCTAAATGATGAATACTCGGAATTCCCAGTGCCCTCATATTTCCAACTAGATCAGAGGTCCCCAACCCCTGGGCCATGGAGGAGTGCACAGCAGGAGGTGAGCAGTGGGTGAGCAAGTGAAACTTTATCTGTATACAGCTGGTCTCCATTGCTCATATTACCACCTGAGCTGCGCCTCCTGTCAGATCAGCTGTGGCACTAGATTCTCACAGGAGTGCAAACCATATTGTGAACTGTGCGTGTGAAGGATCTAGATTTTGTGCTCCCTGTGAGAATCTAATGCCTGATGATCTGTCATGTCTGCCATCACCTTCAGATGGGACCATCTAGTTGCAGAAAAACAAGCTTGGGGCTACCACTAATTCTATGTTACAGTAAATGTAATGGGCTTTAATTCTCCTGAAACTATCTCTGCTCCCAAGTTCATGAAAAAATTGTCTTCCAGGAAACCAGTCCCTGGTGCCAAAAAGGTTGGGGACCACTGCACTAGATGACTGAAATCTCAGTGTAATACACTAGATGGCTGGACCTCACCTCTGCATATCTACTTTAGACTTTCTTTTTGTGAAGTTTTATATTCTATTCTACCTTCAACAGCAAGGACAGCTTCCACTTTTGCCCCTTCTCTCCTTGTTGTTAGGGGTCAGTGGATCTTGATCAGATAAACTAATCCCTGTGCTGTATTTCTGGGAAACATAGTACCCGAACCCAGTAAATGCACACAGCTTTCCAAAAGACATTTTAAAAGGGTGTCATTAGATGATAATTTTTATTATCCTTAGGAATCTGGAGGTAGGAAGAGAGGAAAAGTGTAAGATATCTGGGGACAGATGACTTTGATATCACCACTCCTGCTTATAATAGAAATCTGAAATGTTATTTCTCTTCATGGTTGAGTATAACAAAGAACTTAAAAATTATACACCATGGCATACTATGCAGCCATAAAAAACGATGAGTTCCTGTCCTTTTTGAGACATGGATGAACCTAGAAACCATCATTCTCAGCAAACTGACAAAAGAACAGAAAACCAAACACCACATGTTTTCACTCATAGGTGGATGATGAACAATGAGAACACTTGGGCACAGGGAAGGGAACAACACTCACAGGGCTAGGTGAGGGGGTGGAGGGGAGAGGAGGGGGGGACAGCGCAGAGTGGGTGGAGAAGAGGGGGAGGGAGAACACTGGGAGAAATGCCTGATGTAGGCAACAGGGGGTGGGGGATGGACATAGCAAACCACCATGACATATATGTACCTATGCAACAATCCTGCAGGATGCAGGACGTGCCATATACCCCAGGGCACAAATACAATAAAAAATAAAAATAAAAAAAGAAATGCAGAGTTTAGCTTTGCTAATCTACTTTTTCTTATTGAAAGATATCTTTATTCATGTAAACACACCTCCGATTACTTTTTACTGGATAACTCTGACTTCTCTCCTGATTACTTCGTCTCTGTTCTGTGTGAGTGACATATAGTGAGTAATTAATTCATTTTGTTAATTGGTGACTTTGATGGGAATTCTGTAGCGTAGTACATATGCCAGCTTGCATGTAAACAGTGAAACATTATAACTGTTCTCTGTATCTACCTGTGTCAGATTCTCTAGGCTGTGGATCTCAACAGTAGATCTGCCTTGCCAGAACAAAATGCATGGAATAAATACATTGTTTCCCTAAAAAAAAAATTACATCATTTGTATGGAGTTACACTGTTTCAAAAGCAGGATCCATAGCTAAAAGAATTATGTGACATACACCATGGGCTTTAGTTTGGAATGATAGTATTGCCTTTTATATTTTTGGTCAATTCACTTTCTTTAGGAACACTGGATTATGAACATTATTATTCTAGGCTTAGATCGTCATCATACCCAACTACTCTGATAAGGAATGTGTTCCAAAGAAATTCCAAAGATTCCCTGCAGTAACACATATTTTTTGTAGGATATCTAAAAACACTGTTCTCTTTGCCCATATTCAAAATACTGCCCTTAGATTGTAGTTCCATGGTTCTTCCATGGAACTCTTCCATGCCTCTAACTATAAAATGGCTCCAGAGACTATTAAGCTAGATACAGAGTTGTTGTTTGGTGTTTCCTGGAACCAGACCAGTATAAGCCTTGGCTGTCTGATACAAGTGATACTCTATCGCTGAAAAACATACTCAAACCTTGACCTCCATACCCTCTAGATCTTTTTTTATCCCTTTGGAGACTCTCTTAGGTCTGACATGTGATGTGTCTTACCCAGATTTAGTTAATTATAAAAACCCACTAGCAGTTAGGCTGTGTGGTAATTCATAGGCATCCTTTGCTAACATTTTGAGGGGTTCACATGTATCTTTTATGCTTCCTAATTAGGGTCACTACTGTGCTTGATTAAGCTAACAGTTGTATTAATGTACAAGCATTGTTGACCACTGAGCTTCAGAGGAGAGAGTTTGGGAGAACAGCAGCTAGAAACGTTACAGTGTTATTTGCTATAAATTGAGATGGTATATACAATTGCAGTACGCTAATGATGTCTGGGTTCAGATCCTAACTTTGTGAAGAGCTATGTAGATCCTGGGAAAATCAGCTGTTCTAGACTTTTGCTTTCCCATCAATGAATTAGGAAATGGTACTGGATGATCTGACCACTCTGTTCCATCTATCTCTGGGATTCTAGTGCTATAAGGAGTGGTTACCAGGCTTACATAGTAGTCTAACTAAAGAATTCTTTGAAAGTGTGGATTGTTCCCAGTTTTACCCAGTAATTCCATGTGTTTCATTCTCCTTGTTTGTTTGTTTGTTTGTTTAGAGACGGAGTCTCACTCTGTCACCCAGGCTGGAGTGTAGTGGCACAATCTCTGCTCACTACAACCTCCGCCCCCTGGGTTCAAGGGATTCTCCTGCCTCAGCCTCCTGAGTAGCTGGGACTACAGGCGCATGCCACCACGGCAGCTAATTTTTTGTATTTTTAGTAGAGATGGGATTTTACCGTGTTAGCCAGAATGGGGTCTTGATCTCCTGACCTCAAGATCTGCCCGCCTCAGCCTCCCAAAGTGCTGGGATCACAGTCCTCAAAGAAGTGTACCATTAAAAAGATCATGGAGAGACCTGACCTGGCATCTCTGGAGTCGCGGTGAAGCGTCTCTATTCCTGCTCTCTCGATATGGCGTCTCCATCAGTCTTTGCCGAGGTTCCGCAGGCACAGCCTGTCTTGGTCTTCAAGCTCACTGCCGATTTCCGGGAGGATCCGGACCCCCGCAAGGTCAACCTGGGAGTAGGAGCGTATCGCACAGAAGAATGCCAGCCCTGGGTTTTGCCAGTAGTGAGGAAAGTGGAGCAGAAGCTTGCTAATGACAATAGCCTAAATCATGAGT